CGAATTATCCTTGTTAGTGCCCCCTTGGGCTGTTAACCCTCAATCCAAGTCCATCACAGACTAAAGTGGATCGAGTTCAATTCGAGGGGATACACTTCTCTATGCCTGACACGGAGAATAAATTCTCACGAAGACATAAAGCATATGAACCCCGAAAGTTACTTGCTAGGTTTGACACGGAGAATAAATTCTCACGAAGACGTCACTTTCACTCCCACTTAAAAGGGACTAACTCAATTATAGAGCTTTATGTTATGCAATGCAAGTGTTATGTGTGAGGAGAAATGTTCAAACCTCTGACAGAAAAATAAATAATGAAATAAAATACTTGCAAGTAAAATGAAATAAAAATATAAAGTATATAAAAAATTTGAAAAGAAAAGAATTATAAATTAAATATATGAATTTTTAATTTATAATTAATAGAGACAATTTATAATTGATTTTAAAAGTTTGACAGTCCCCAGCGGAGTCGCCAAGCTGTCGTAACCGGTTTTCGCCCGGGCACGAATTTTTACTTGGCGGGAAAAGTGATGTGAATAAATTAATGATTTTGATTTTTTTTTTAAAAAATATTTTGGGAGTCGCCATCGGCCTTTTGGGTTAGGTAGGTCGAATACCTAAAAATCATCTTTTAAAAGAGTTTTTAAGAAAACATCGATTAAAAGATAAATTGATCTGCGTTTTAACCAAAAATTCATTCTTTTTAATAATAAAAAGGGATTCGTGGTCGGTTACGTTTAGGGAAGGATTAGCACCCCTACAATGCCCAAATTTGGTACTTTTTAATTAGAAATTGTCTCTATTATTAGAAATTTAAAAATTCAAAATATATTTAATTTATAATCCTAATATTTCAAAATTATAATTATGAGAGAAAAAAATATTAATTATATATATTTAAAAAAATATTTATTTATTTAGAAATATCAGAAAAGGACTTCTAGGTGCCTTAAGACAGCTCTTTTCTTCGATATTAATAAATATAAAATTAAATTATAATTTTTTTATAATATTTAATTTTAAAATACCAGAATAGGAGATCCAGTTGTATTAAGACTGTCCTTTTCTTCGATATTGAAAAATAAATAAATATTAAAATATGATAAAAATAATTTAAAAATATATATAAATTATTATTTATTATATATATATTTATATATGACTATATAATAATATTTAAATATATAAACAAGTAAAATTAAAACATAAATAAACAATAATAAAAATACAATTAGAACTATATATTTAAAAGCAATAAAACTTTATAATAAATGAAAATATTTAAAAATAGTGACTAAATTATAATCTAATAAAATTAAATACCTAATTCATAATTAATTATTTAAAATTATAGGGATTAAACATGCTATTTTCCTTATTTATTAATATGATGACTAAAATAAAATTATATAAAATTCGAATATCAAACTAAAATAAATTAAAAATATATACTCGGGATTAAAATATTATTTATTAAAACTAAAGGACTAAATACGTATTTTATCTAAAATATTTATAATTACGGTTAAGGGCTAAAATATAAATAAATAAAATTTAGAGACCAAATTAAAAGGATTATAAATTTGATTTAGTGACTAAAATGTAAGAATTACAAGTTAGGATGGCTGCGGAAAGGGTTTAACCTTTAGTTAATTACAGACAGATCCCTCCCCAAAACGGCGTCGTTTGGGGAGGGCTATTTAAGCCCTTAACCGGCTGGCCCGAAGGGCCAACTCTCATTTCTCCTCTTCCCTCTCTCTCTCTTCTTTGAGAGAGTTTAAAACTCTCTCGTTTCTCTCTAAAACAGAGAGAAGCACACCGGCCGGCAGCCGTTTGCCGACGTTAACACCGCCGCCGGCCACCGCATCCGGTGGCCGGAAAAGTTTTTTTTATACCTAAATATAGATCGGACCATCCTATTGATGGTTCCGATGGCCGTTTCCCTTAAAAGACTCCCGATCGGAGCAAATCTATAAAAATACCTTCGGTTTTCGAAGGTTTCCGATGACGTGTGAAGGTTCCGGTGATGTTGTAGCTTCCTCAGTAAGTCTCTCCGTTTTCTCCTTGCTTTTTTGTTTGTGGTTGCTGGTTTGCTTGCTTTTTTTCCTTGTTTCTTTTTTTTTCTTTGTTGGTTGCCTCTGTGATCATTGTCTTCTCTTCTTTGCAGGTTCGGTGGTGGCTTTATAGCCATCACCGGCGCTTGTCTCGGACCGGGTAAAAGATTGGAGTTTGGTGAGTCACCGAGCTATGTGGTGACTCACCCCATAGTTGCGACGTGGACGGCTGTGTTGGGATCTCTGGAAGTTTCTGTTGGCGTCGTGGCAGCAAAAGTTGAGGCGGTGGCAGCGGATCTCAGTAGTGGAACGGCTGGAAGTAGAAACGGCGCCGCGTGGTCCCTAGGGTACTATCACCCTAGGGTTTGTGTTGGATGCGTGGGGGCCGTTGGATCTCTCAGATCCAACGGCTGTGATGCTGAGGCGGCTGGATGATGAAATAGAAACCCTAAATTAGTTTTAGGGTTTCCTGATAGGTTTGGGCTTCCTGATGGGTTTGGGCCAGTTGAGTCCTTTGTAACTGGGCCGGTCCAGTCTGATTTGGGCCTGTATAATATTTATTAATAATAAAATAATAATAATAATTATAATAATAATAATAATATAAATAATATTTAGATGAAAAAAAAATGAGTATCTTCAGAAGCCAACATATTTTTTCGCCTTTCCACTTACATACTTGGATTTCTTATTTAAAGCATCGATTTGGGTAGCAAAGGGGTTAATAGAAGAAGAAGAAGAATGGGAACTCCAGCATTGACAACAGAACGAGGAATGAGAGAAGTAATAAGTTTACTCATACCTTGAACCTAAGAAAAAAATGGAAAATCAAGAGCTAAGATTGAAAAAGAACCACATATAGGACGGAAGTAGTAGAAGAACTAATGTTGTGGACTCGATTATAAAGAAATAGAAAAGAACAGCCGTCCCCAAACTCTTGAACCCAAAAAACCAAAGCTAAATTATTTAAAAAGTGGTTAATTCAAATTCCAGTACATGATTAAAAGAATAATATAGTCACTAATCTTTGCATGAACCCGAAGATTGTTCATATTTATTTTATGAGTAAAGTACATAAATGATTATTCAATCATGGGATGTTATTTTTTTGAGTCTTTTAACTATTAAAAATTATAAAATGATCATCAAACTATTCATATGTTCAAAATTTATCTTTTTCTGTTAAAAAATTAATAGACATATGAGCTAGATGTTAATCTGTTTGACTATGATATGATAAAATTATATTTTAATTATATCTACTGACATCGTCGTTACTTTCAAGCATTAGTTATATGGCATAATGTTTCAAGCTCTAGCTCAATGACATAATGTAAACAAAAGTTCGATCTACAAAATATAACTTAAATAGTTATATGATCAGATTTTTTCATATCTCAAGTGAGCTTGTTAATATTTGGCTCATATAACTGTCAAATTTTTAACGAAAAATGAAGAGTATGGAATATATTAATAGTTGAGTAATTATTTTGTAACTTTTAATAGTAAATGAACTCAACAAAGTAACGTCTTATAATTAAGGAATCATTTTGCAATTTTAATAATTAAGAGATTTAACAAAACAACGTTATATAGTAAGGACCATTTGTGTATTTTGCCTTATTATAACAAAAAATATGTTCTTTTTAACTTTTGAGATACTTTAATTGAAAACTTCAAATCAAGGATATTTGTTGTTAAGGAGGGTAATCCAATCATTTGTTAGGATAAAAATAACAAAAAAAAAGGAAATGAAAGAAAAAATAGGGAATAAGTGAAAAGAAGAAGAATAAATATTGATACTTGTGTCCATATTACCTTTTTAAAGTATTGAAAATTATATATATTTCAATGTTATAATTTATAGTATATATTGAAAAATTCGAGTGTAAGTATGATATCAACAATTTCTAAAGCTGATAATATATTTTTGGTTAATTATAAGGGTTATTTTTTATTTAATTAAAATGTGGTCATAATAGGTTAACTATTGTTAATAATTAATAGAATATGTGACGTGATAGTTGATATAATCACATATTTGGTCTCTGTTATTTGCATATTCTCTTAATTTAGTCATACTTTTAAATAAATTTTAACATAAAAATATATATTTTTAAATAAAAAATAAAAAAATATTTTTAAATTAAGTTAATAATAAAATATATTTAATAAGTTAATATAATTTTTTAAGTTAATATATATAAAATATTATGAATTTAAGTATTTATACACTAAGATACAAATTATATACAATGTGTTTTTTACTTTAGACCAAACAATGATCTTAGCTAGGGGTACGTAAAACTTAACTCGACTCGAATTGACTTCGAGTTGTAATTTCATAAATTCAACTCGACTCAAAAAAAATTCAAGTTCAAACCGAATTGTAAAACGCAACTCGAATAACTTAAAATTTTTAATAATTAGTAGATTAATTTTCAAGTTTGAGTCGAAGTTTGAACCGAGTCCCTCGATTTTGCATGGTATATATAAATTACATATGAAGAAGATACATAAATATATATATATATGTATTGTATATGATTATAAAATACCATTTAAATTGGAATCAAATAATGTCATAATATTGTAAATATTTATAATTAAATTTAAATAGAAACTCGAAAATTTGACTCGACTCGAAAAAATTTCAAGTCAACTCCGAGTTATGAAATGATATTGATACTTAAATTTGAAATTAAATTGAAATCAATACATGATTAAAGCGTTGCTACATATTAATACTTAAATTTGAAATTAAAGCTAAATTTGATATTGATTTGATTTTGTACAGCTTCATACATGATTAGATTCTTACAAACTATAATTTCGTATCAAGGTTCATTTATAAAAGATTTATTCTCACAAATGAATAAATACTATAATGGTACAATTGCTTATCAACACTCGACTCCATGTTCACTTAAATTTATAGTCATTGTACTCATATTGATTCCGAGTTTGTCAAGGTTTCTTATCTAAGTAAATACTTCCTAATATCATGCAACTCTGTCAAGGTTTCTCTCATGGGTAAACGATCTTTGGCTGATTGAGCTGCGCAACATAATCCAACTCTGATAACGGCCGTTAAACATTCTTCATATTTCCGGCCGATGTGATCACTGTTGATGCTGCTGTCACCGCCATTGCTGCTGTCGCTGGAGCTAGTGATGAACGAGCTTTGTAATGAACTTCCTTGGTTCTTCAAAAGCCTCGGATCAACTGTCTCAAAAACTTGATTTCTATCCATAGCTGTAGCCAATTTTTTTAGGCTTGATTCTTCTTTAAACATCCCATCAGTTGGTCTCTTGGCAATGAACATCTCAAGTAAAAGAATGCCAAAACTATAGACATCTCCACTGGTCGAAGCTTTGCTCCCTAGGCCGTACTCTACAGATAAATTCACCGAAAAGAGTTGGACTGATAATCCATGAACTGTGAAGTTTTAATGTTGGTAAACATTGGTTTATGGTTTACTGACCTGGAGCAATGTAACCAACCGAGCCTTTCAATCCCATTGTGCTGTTCTCCCTTTGGGATGGACTTGGAGAAAGGAACCTTGCCAATCCGAAATCACCTACATGAGCTGCCGTATTTTCATCCAAAAGTACATTCGCAGGCTTCAAATCGCAGTGCACAACAGGTGGTTTGCAGTCGTTGTGCAAATAATCCATGGCGGAAGCTACATCGATGGCAATATTCAATCTTTGTAGTAAGGTCAAACAAGTCCCGGATTCCATGTCTTCTGGATATAGCCACTTCTCTAGGTTGCCGTTCGGCATGAACTCGTAAACCAGAGCCTTGAATTGATCTCCTTTATGATTGACACTCGAGCATGAGGTGATGATCTTCACAAGGTTCCTATGCCTAGCGTTTCTCAAGGCCTCACATTCAGCAAGAAAACTTTGAACGGCTTTGGTTTGCTGCAGGTCAAGAACCTTGACTGCAAGTGTAAGGTTGTCGAATCTACCTTCGTAAACCGACCCGAAACCTCCCCTGCCGAGCAGATTTTTGGCTGCGAAATTGTTTGTAGCAAGCCGGATATCAGAGTAAGTTATCAATGGAGGCAACCCTTTCACCGAATGCGATGATTTACCGCCTTTCACCCGATTTTTCTTCCTTCTGGATATCAAAGCCCACGCAAAACAGGAAACCAAGCATATCAACAGACTAGCTCCAGCAATTGGAACTAAAATTCTGATCAAGTGACGCTTCCTTGGTCTTCCCTCGGTATTGCACTGTGGGATATCCAAATTCCTGGCAATTTCTTGATCAATACTGCAGAGCTCACCGTTACCATGGATCGAGAAAAAGCTGCGGTTCGAAAAGATGTTACCTTTCGGAACTTCTCCTTCCAAATGATTGAAAGACAAATTCAGCATCTTGAGTGACTTTAGATTTCCCAAGTCATGTGGAATTGGCCCTGAAAGATTGTTGGAAGAGAGATCCAAAAACTCTAGCGGTATTAAACTTCCTAATGAATCCGGGATTTCACCGGTGATGTTGTTCATCGAAATGTTGAGATATAGCAAACTTGAACAGCCGCTGATCGATGAGGTTAATTCCCCGAACAAGTTATTTTCAGAAACATCAAGAACTTGAAGCTGCTTCAAGTTGCCGACTTCACTTGGGAGAGGACCCGAAAGCAAATTATGCACCAAGATCAAGTAGTTTAAACCAGAAAGTTTGAAAATCTCTTCTGGGATGCTTCCATTGAGCCGATTCCAAGACAGGTCCAATGTTTGTAACTGCTGACAATCTCCTAGACTGATGGGAACTTTACCAGAAAATTGGTTATTTCCTATTGCAATCTCGGAAACTCGTGTTAAATTAGAAAAGATTTCTGGGATTTCGCCGGAGAACATGTTTTGGTAGACCAAAAGGCTCTGCAAGTTTCTGAGCGTAGCAATGCTCCTTGGTATATCACCTGTGAAAGAGTTGATCTCGATTGAAAGAGATATCAGATTCTGCAACATCTCAATCCCCTGAGGGAAGCCACCGGTTAACATGTTGTCAGAAATGCAAAAATGTTGGATATTGCTCGAGAGATTCGCGACCGACGGAAATTCACCGGAAAGTCTGTTGGAATTGATCATCAGACGTTGAAGCTGAGTACAGTTTGCAAGAGAATCAATGAACTGAAAATTCCGAGCAGTATCGGAAGAGAAAAGATTTTGACCAAGGTCCAGCCTTGTAAGTTCCCTCATGTTGCCTAACAAAGGAATGGCACCATGAAATCTATTCCTAGACAGATCAAGAACTTCCATGCTCGAAGCATTAGATATATAACCAGGCACGGTTCCTTCAAACCTGTTCAGTGCCAAATACAGTTCTCTGAGATTCGGGAGATGGTAAAATCCATCTTTTGGAGGCATTGGAAGGTTTCCAGAAAGGTTATTTTGTGTTACAGACAAGAAAATCAAAGAAGACGTGTTGAAAATGGAAGCAGGTATTTGACCTGAGAGATTATTTTCGGAGAGCTGGATCTGTTGAAGGTTTCTAAGGTGACCAAGCTCACTGGGAATTTCACCGGCTAGCATGTTTCTAGCCAGATTAAGAGATGTTAGAGAGGAAAGGTTTCCAAATGTAGAGGGGATTGAACCAGTGAGATTATTGACAGCAATGAAAAGGGCTCTAAGTCTTTGGAGATTACCTAGTTGAGGTGGAATACTTCCAGTAAATCTGTTGCCTTGTAATCTAAGTGTTTCGAGGTTATGGCAATGAGAAAGAGAAGCAGGAACCGTTCCATTAATGGAGTTGTTTCTAAGGTCAATATGTCGAAGGAGGGAAAGTCTGCTAAACTCCAATTGAAACTGGCCGTGGAATGAGTTGTGGGAAAGGTTGAGTGTGGTAAGGGAAGTGAGGTTTGAGAGAGAATGAGGTAAGGTGCCAACAAGGCCGAGTGAACTGAGTTGGAGGGATTCAACTCGAGAACCATTGGTGGTGCAAGTGACACCAAACCAGTTGCAGTGAGAAGAGTTGCTGGTCCAGCCTGAAAGTGCAGTTTGAGGATCAGTGAGTTGGAGTTTGAATGAAAGCAAGGCCTGTTGATCGGTTGTGGAATCCAAGTCCTGGCTCATACCAGAGTTTAAGTGAATCTGAAAAATGGAGAAAAGCAGCAGCAAAAACTGCAGGTATTCCATGGCTTATGATCTGTGTAAGACACTGGACCAATGACTTAAATACACAAGTTTTTCTTATGTAAACACCCAAAAGTCTGCTAGAAAAGTCTAAGTCGATCCACATGTGTTGCATCTTATATGTTTGAAACATTCTTTACAGCTCAAGCCAACTTTATTCATATATTACTTATTCATAAAAGTCAAAGTTAAAAGAACCACTGAACTTCATGAATCAACTTTGAAATGGTTTCAGAAGTCATATAAAGGAAGCGGTCAAAAGCATTCACTTCGCAAAATTGATTGGATAGAAAAAAAAAATTTGTTAGTATTCATAACACCATATCATTATTGAAAAAAATTTAAAAAAATATCACATCAACAGTTTTGTTAATTTCTTAACGATGAATGATAAAATTAAAATCAAAACGTAACGTTAAGTACGATTTTTTAAAAAAATAATATAATTGAGTCACCAAAACATAATAAAAGTGGTTGATATGTTAAACGTGTAATATTCCCTAATATAAACAAAATAATAATTTTCAAACCACAAGAATGTCAAATTTGTATTTTACAATGAATTGAAGTTTATTATTTTAGATATTATCTCAATTTAAATATAATTTTTTAACAATAAATCATGATCAAGCTTTAACTGTAAATTTCAACCAAAAAAAAGAGGGGGCCCAATACTGTGGGGTTTAAAGTCGAACTGTCGGCCTGAAAGTCACCCTCCTAATTTTGTTTGTTTAAATATAACAGATATTTGGGTATTTGCCCCTTTGAACGAGTCCAATGCTAATTTTCAATTGCTAGACCTCTTAGCTTTTCCAAATTTTAATTATATAATTAACATATAAAAACGTAATCCATTCTCGACGGTCTCCGACTCGCTTGGAGCAGTGGTTCCACTCTTATTTTTGTCCAAACTGACAGCTCGGGTGCCCTTCCGATCTATCCGCCTCCTTTATTCCTAAAAGGTGACATGTTACGTTTCAGAAACTCTATCGTGAAACAAATGCAGCGGCTGATTTCATAACAAAGATGAATACCCCAATGGATGGCTCTGTGCTAGTCTTCGACTCCTCCTGCCCTCAGCTTCGTGCTCTCCTCCACCGAGATATTCACAGCTCTCCTTATTTTAGAATAAAACGTTCGATGTAATGGTTGCTGGAAATAATCTTGATGCATTTATACGAGGATCTTGATGCATCTCTTTTATTCACTTGGAAATAATCTTGTCATTCTTTTCGTTTGGTTATAGTCCATAGACATAATCATTGTCAATCTCATCATCAACTAAATCTATCATCTATCAGTCGCATTTATCCATCTGTTAACTTATTAATAGACATGAATTTTAAGATTAATCCCGACCACTCTATTATTTGGTGTTGAGAACATATATAACAAGCAAAACTAAAGGATAAGACGTTCAATCTCATACATGATTTTCATTATCTTTTCTAATCTTTTTTCTTCTTTCGTCGTAAAATCGTTAATTGCTCCTTTTGGTTTAAACCAGAAAGAATAAATAGTTTAAGATCATCATTTTTCTATTTAAACCATTAATAAAATTAAATAATTATAATAAATAATATAAATTAAAATTACTTTTTCGAAATGTTTACTTGATTAAAATTATTCTAAATTTAAAAATAGATTATTCAAAGTAAACTCGATTCATATGGTCTTATTTATCTTGAGATTTTTTTGTACTATTTGGAATTGCTGACTTTTATATAGCATGTATGAATTTTAGATACGAAACAAATATAAAATTTCGAACACAATAAAAATCAAATTATCATATAAGATACAATAATTGAAATATTAATCTTATACATGTGCTATATTTTAAGTAAGGTTGTCGGCATATATTGATGTAAATATGTTACAAAATAACATTAATTTATCAATGTCTTTCAATTCAAATATACGTTTTTCCCCTTTTTTTATTTTTATTTTTATGTTGTTTTCCCGGTTCTAAGGTTTCGTCTTGACTAATCCGGACCGACATGCGTCGCGTACTTAACTTTGGTGGGTGAGTTTCTCAGCAAAGATTTTCTGCATACACAAGGACCCACTCTTAAAACCTTGCTTAAACGATACTAAACTTCTTACCATTTGAATCAACCCATGTTGATTTTTCCTTTTTATTTCTTTGATAGCCGGCGGCAATGATTAATCTGTAATAAAAAATTAAAAAATTAAATTAAGATGAGAATAATGACAAGTCACCTTTGATTATTTGTCATGAAGATAGGACGATTTTAAAATAGGCTTAAATGCATTATTATCTCTTAAATTATATAATTTGCATCGAATTATTTTATAAAATATTTTTCGGGATGTTTTATTTCTAAAGTTTAAATCATTACTTGAGTGTCCCAATCTACTAACTCCGTTAAAAAAATATGTGGTTAAATTACATATTTAGTCATTCAACAATTCTTGTATTCCTATTTTGGTTAGTCAACTATTTTTGTTTTCAAAATCATCATAAACTTAAGTTTTTCTTTTGTTTTGATCACCCAAATTCGGTTAGATTTATTTTTAAAATTTACAATATATAAAAAATTCATTTATATCACATATTTTTTACTCAACACATAAATTTAATGTATAATAATAAATATAAATGTGATGGTGGTGTCCCGGTAATGTTTAGAAACACAAATTGCTCCCGGCTTTGGAAAGGACTCGGCATTATTTGGAGTGATGTCCGTGATAATATTACTTGGTCTATTGGTTCGGGCAGGAAATTAATTTTTGGCGGGACAATTAGATCCGAGAAATTGGTCCCTTATTAATTATGTTCACACTGATTCAGTTCAATTCTTGGGGAAGATGTCTATTGCCGAAATGTGTATTACAGGGGGTGAGTGGCGCTGGTCTCTTTTTGCTTAGTATTTGCCTCACGATGTTCTGCTACGTATTGCAGCGATAAAGGGGCCGAATAATAAAGGAACAGATTCGTAAATTGTGTCGTGATATAACCACTGTCTTAGAAACGAATTCACCTCGATGTGTGTAATCGCTGCAGTAGGCGGACCGTCTCCCGAGGTTAACACGGTCGCTCCGAATTCCGTACACCTGAAATTGGAGTGGACTGATGATGGTATTGTTCTTCTTATCGGAAAGCACACAGAGAGAATATTTAGAAAACACTTGAAGAGTGAATTCTGAAATGTTGAGAGTGAGTTGAGAAGCTGAATTCAACTCTCTATTTATAGGCTAAAAATAGGGTTAAAATCGTCCATATAAAAAATCAGGATTAAAATCATTCTTTGTAACAGCTAAAACGTTTATATTAACCTGACTCAAAAATAGTTCATGTTCATTGCATTATTATTCAGCTGTTATAACTCCTGATATTATATTATGTAACTCCTGAAATTAAATCAATGTAACTCCTGATATTAACAGCTTGTCCCCTTTGTACAAAGCTGAAAATCAGTCCAGATACATCTTAACGTTTTTGATTTAATTTAGGAAAAAGCTGTTTAATTTTTGATAACTCATAAACCAGTTGTTATAATTTAAACAGTCCTCAGCAGCCTATAAATATCAGTTGAAATCTTTCACATTTTCCATTTGTTTCTTTCAAAGAGAAATTTCTCAGGAATTTTCTCTAAAAAGATAGTATCCGCGCGGACGTGTCGAAGACACGTATTACCACGACCACGAGCCGAGTCGAGCCGAGACGAAATGTGGCGGCGGCGGTGCGCGAGAGTCCCCCTTGTTCTCTTTCACTCAACAAGGAAGTGGGAAATCCAAACCATAAATACACATTCCAATAGTGTTTCCAATACTATGTGGGATTGAGCATTACCAACATTCCATCACTAATGTGAAAGAATTCTTCTGAAACTCGAAAACAAACTTTCCAGAAGAGCAATAGCGAGATTAGTTGCTTAAGCACTAGTGAACGTATCTGGAACTAGTACATAGTGATGATGAGCAATCTTTCTCTTAGATAAGTGAAACTAGTCTGGAACTTTCTAAGATGGGGGTAAACTCATAACACACAACTAACCCCTTCATCCACCTGAGTCCTCGATGTGTAAGATATATATATACAAAGTATATATTTGGCCATCTTACCTCAGGATTCTAGTAAGTGTGCTAGAAAAATGGCCCAAAATTTTTCATAGAATGCGACTAACCATTCTCACTTACATAGGTTATTTCATCAAGTTTATCTCAACATAAATCACCCTTAAAAAGGGATATGAAATAATTAAGAGCTTTTATAATAGCTCAACCTCACAAAGGGTATGATGACTTTCTTCAAGTTCATTATAAATGAACCACCCAAATTTTGGGCTAAGAAGTCATTAAGAATAAATATTCAACCTCATTTATCGGTAAATTCAATAAGTCCTCACTAGAATCATCCAAATACTTGGATTTGAATTTATTAAGAGTTTAACAAACGCAACCTTTCTGTCGGTAAGTTCTTTATTTCCTTCTCACTTAGGAATACCCACTCACTCTGGGTTATGAACTTATTAAAAATATACATTCAGCCAAAATCGGTAAATTCATCAAGTCTTTCTCACTAAAACTACCCAAAGCCTGGGCTATGAATTTATTAAGAGCAATTAAGCTTATCCTGGGTAAGCACATTATTCGTCATAGGGATAGGCAGTAGGAATGTGCACTATGAGTCTTTTCATGGTTTCGTTTGACCACATGGAAGTTAGATAACTAAGTTGGGTATCCACCATGAATTCTTCAACCAATGGGCTTGAGACCCATCCCCCTCGACGAATCTAGGACCAGCTTTCGACTTAACCCTTTGGTAAGCGAATCTGCTAAAGAGAGTACTCTATTCTTTATTAAGTGTCTAACTGATTCATGTCTTATGTGAATGTGTCTTTTCTTACCATTGTAAGCTTGGTTCTTAGCCACACATATCGCATCTTGTGAATCACACAACAATGAAACTGGAGGAGTCGATTTTCCCCACAGCGAAATATATGCTAACAAGCTTCTGAGCCACTCGGCTTCTTGCCCAGCTAGGTCA